CCCACTCGGTCCCGCCGCATCGCTGCCACCGGTGAGCGCGCCGAGCTGGGCACCGGATCTGCCAGGCGCGTCAGAGGAGCCCTGCAGAAGGGCGCCCTCCTGCGCCCCAGGAGGAAACATCTCCTAAGACTCCGGGGAAGGGAGGAGAGGGTGCCGGGTGACACAGGGGAGAGCTTTGGAGACACTGGAGCATATGGGGGAGAGGATGCGTTTCCCGCTCCGTGGACACAGAGGCCCGTGGGAGACGAGGCTCACTTTAGTGACGGGCAGGGCTGGCTCAGGTGCACAGACAAGCAGACAGGCAACAGGGGTAACACCCACCCACAGGCACAGACAGGGAGCTCAGAACTCCAGGTTTGCCTCACTCGGGAAAGAAAAAAAACCCTATAAACTCCCTGAGAGGTGGCAGAGGAAAAGACCAAGACTTCAAATCAGGAAGGACTCACTGGCCCTGGGCCCTTCCAGTATGAGCACTTGGTTAGTAGTGAGTTATCGAAATCTTAGGAACCTGGTGCTTTGCCATTTTCTCTTTTGATATTTTGATAAACCCACACAGTAGGCGCTTTTATCCCTGATAAGAGGCTTAAAAGGTCGATTTATTATTATTATTATTATTATCATCTTCACCATCATCATCAGGGGCATCAGCCCAGGACCTGGGCGTACCAGACAATCACTCTGTCACTGTGCTACACCCAGGGCCAAAAGGTCAATTAATTTAGACTCCAGGCACTAAGCAAGGGAGTGAAAGAACAAGGTTTGAACCAGATTTGTCTGACAATAAAGCCAGTGCTTTAAAAAGGAAAAAGAAAAACACACTAGAATTTATTATCTATCTTTCTATTTATTGATTGATTGATTTATTTTTTGAGACAGGAATTCGATATGTTTGGCAGGCTGGCCTTGGACTTCAGGCTCAAGTGATTCCTCCTACCTCAGCCTCCAGAGTGGCTGGGACTACAGGCGTGTGCCACCTGGCCCAGCTTAGAATTTTAAAAAGTCTTTTATTATTATAAGAGTGGTATATGAACACTATAGACTCTTTGGGATAAAAACAGAAAAACAAGAATAAGGAAATAAAAACTTCATATTCCCACCACCCAGATGACCCCTGATACCCTTGTGTATGTTCTTCTGGGTATTTCTATGTGTGTATCTCTTCCAGATGATCCTGCTTCGCTTATGTGCATAAATAGTTACATGTGTATGTATAGTTTTAAAGTTTTTTTGTTTTGGTTTTGGTCTCGGTGTTTTCAAGTCGAGGGTCTTGCTGCGTAGTTCAGGTTGGCCTTGAACTCACGATGTAGACCAGGCTGACCTCCACCCCATGATGATCCTCCTGCCTCAGCTACCTGAGTGCTGGGATCACAGGGGTATGCCACCACACCCAGCTACATATAGTTTTTGCTAAAACGAAATACTATTGTACATATGTTTTTATAACTTGGCATTATACACACACACACACACACACACACACACTTTTTTTGAGTACCCAATTCATATTGAAGTTGTCCTAATTATTTCAGAAATATCTTTTTTTTTTTTTTTTTCAATACTGGGAATTGAACCGAGGGCCTTTACTCTGAGCTATATCCCCAGGGTTTTTTGTTTTGTTTTGTTTTGGTACTGGGGATCAAACTCAGGACCTTGTGCTTGCAAGGGAGGCACCGTGCCACTGCACTAAATCCCTGGCCCTTAAGTTTTTAATTTTGAGACAGAGTCTTGCTAAGTCACTAAGTCACCCAGGCCATGCTTGAACTTGCAATCTTTTGCCTCCTATCCCAGAGTGCTGGGATTCAGGAGTTTGTCCAAAATAAGATCCAACCCAGTACATGTGCTATACTAACCTAGCAGCTATGCAACTGGTGTTTGTGTCCCTTTTATTTTAGTACAGTCCCTATTTAGGAGCCAGCAGTTCCACAGAACTGGGTTTTTCTGGCTTTGTCTTCCTGGGGACTTACGGTCATTTCCACCCCCCCCACCCCCCGTTTCTGAAACCGAACGCACTCAAATGCTCAACAGACTGAAGTCCAGCACAACTAGAATGAATTCTGAGTGCTAAGCCCCACACGGGATAAACAACATCCAAACGATTCCTGTTAATGATGCTACCGCCCCCACACACACTTGGGGGAGGATGGCCAGGTTTTTCACTATTCGGGTTTTATCTTCTTTTGACTAAAATGCTATCATCTATACTCTTTACTTTGGTATTATGCAAATGTCTAAATTCCTTCATAGGAAAATTTTCTCTCATTCACTGGGGCTCTTTGGTTTCACCAAAATAAACCAGAGAAAGGTATAATTCTATCCCTAATTACCTATTTTCAAAGTAAGGAGTTGCTTTAAAAGCCACTTCAAAGAGTGACAAATTGCTCCCCCTCCCCGGGCATTTCCTCTGTTTTTCTAATCTGCTGTACCCCAGCATTCTTGGGATCACTGCTGGGTTTCACAGGACACATGACCAGGCTCTCAACTCGCAGTCCCAGTTTCAAATCCTGATTCATGACACCCCCCGAGGAGCTCTGGATGTGCCTCTGATGCTGTATTAGAAAGGTCACTGCCTCTGGAATAGGGGTCTCTCCAGACCCCAGCCCAGGGGAACCCCATGTCTTCTGCTTCTGGGTTCACCTTGCCTGGGAACTGAGAATGAATGGAACACGTTCTGAAGAAACAATGGCCTGGGAGTTGGAGAGCTGCCACTAAACTAGTCCTGGGAGCTCATAGCTCATTGGTCATTCAGTGACCGAGAGTAAGTAGGTGGGAGGGATGGGCAGGGCCCAGGCTGCTAGGGAAGGAGGGAAAGAAGGAAGAACCCATGGCTTGGAGGGACAGAGATGGTGGGATGGGACGTGAGGGAAGGGGGTGTGCCTGGCCCTTGCTCCGAATGTGACCCTGCTCATTCTCCTCTATCCTGAGCAGCTGTATGTGGCCACCGTGCTGCAAGAGCCAGAGCTGAACCTGACCCCAGCCTCCTCTCCAGCCCGGCACACTTATGGTACCATGAACAGCCAGCCGGAAGAAGAAGAGGAGAGCACTTTGAGAGGCTTTGCAAGGGAGCTGGACTCGGCCCAGTTCCAGGAAGGGCTGGAATTGGAGGGCCAGAGCCAGTACCACTGACCAGGACTCCAGGCAGGGGGAGGGGAGAGCCCGGCAAGGGGAGGTTAAAGGGCGGCCTGGGCCTCCCTGCTCCCTCCTGCAGACTTTGGGAAGCTCCCAACGGAGACATCTGCTGCTCAGCCGTAGCCTCGTGGAGACCCAGCCTGCTGACCAGCTAGGATGGAAGTGCCTAGCGGTGCCAAGGAACCCCGGGATGGCATGGAGACAGCAGACACCGTGTCTTGGTAAGGTGGCTGAAGCCCAAGACACAGAGACTGTGCGGGGTCAAGATGGAGAAGGTGTGCATAAGGAAGGAGGCAGGAGGAACCTCATGGAACGCTTTTGGGGTCTCCATCACCCTCTCTTCAGCCCTTTGAGCTGCTGCTACTCCGGTCCCCAGGGTTCCTTGCGGTCTGAGAGGCAAAGGTACGTGCTCTGGGCCTCATTAACAAGTCACAGGTGACTGTCTCGAACCCAAGTTTTCCTGCAGGAAAACTGTAGAGGAGTCTCGCACCCTAGCCTCCAGGCAAGGGACAGCTAAGAAGTAACTGAGCCCCTGCCTCTGCCCTCACCTTATGTCCCCAAGCGCAGCAAGGCAGAGGCCCTTCTCTCTCCTTATAAGGGTGGCCAGGACCCAGACACTTGGGCTCATTAACCCAGACCTGAGTTGTAGTGCAGGAACCATGGCAAGTTCTTGCTGGTTGCTCAAGGTGGGACCTTGACAGAGGCAGCACTCAGGGTGGGGGGCCTCGCCCCAGAAGTCTGGTGGTGGGAAACCAGATACACCTCCCAAGCCCCATGGCTGATGAAAAGATCCCAAAGCTAAGGAGGGGGCCATTAAGCTTCCCTTCACTCCCTGTCTGAGTGCTGGGCCTCAGCTCGGCCAGGGTAGGCAGTGGCTACGGGTAAGAAAACCCCGGCTTTGGACTGAAGTCTCTGACAGACCATTCTCCTCCACCCAAGTAAGAACTTTCCTTGCCTCTCTATATCCTCACTAAGGGTCACCTAAGAGGCCTCCAGAGGTCCCTGCCTTCCCACAGTGACGTCAACCCAGTCCTGCTGGGAGTGCGGTGACCGGTGTGTTCCCTAGGGAGAAACTCTTCCTAGTGGGGCTGCCCTGGGAAGGCAGCCTCCACCTAAGGTCCGGAGAGGCTGAATCTTGAACAGTACAGCTGATTCTCAGCAGTGTGGCCAGGCAACCCCCACCACTGCCTCTTGGGATAGGCTGCTGTCAGGACCCAGTGCAGCCTACCTATGGAGAAAGCAAGTTGCATGGAGTCTTCAAGCTCCTGAGCCTGCTGGAGCTGCATCTCAGAGGTCTGGGTCACTCCCAGCCATTGACTTGTGGCAGGTGGCTAGTGCCCCTCACTCAGAGTCTGCACCATGTCCCAGGAACAGGTGGCTCTCAGGGCAGGCTACCTAGGCCCTGCCCTACTCCACCTTTGTCCACATCCCAGCCCCAGCAGCTCCATGCTGCACTCCAGCTGAGTAGTTGCTCAAAGGGCATTTGGTGCCGTGCCCTCGGGGATGGCTCAAACTTTGCCACAGGAATTTTCCCAGAAAACTTGGATCAATTGGGAAGAAGCCTGGCTTCCATTCCTGACCCAGCTTGGAATAAGAGGGAAATTACATCCAGCCAAGCCCTTACACACCGGTTTCCAAGGGTCCTCTCCCCATGGGAATTAAGCAACAGAGGCAAGGGACCCTTTTGTAGCTCAATGACTAGCCCAGCTCTGACCAAAGTGGGAATGAAGGAGGCCATGCCCAACACTGCAGGGTAAATTTGGTATGTAGGGGTTTGGCGGTGCTGCCAAAGGCTGGCCTGGGGCCTCTCCTTCCCTGAGCGCCACTCGCTGGCACCTGTCCCCAGTCCTGCTTATTCCATACCCTGCCCCCCAGAAGCCTGTGGTAGCTACATATGGAAAGGGTCCCACAGGCAACATGGCAGGATGGCTTGGTGCCTTTTCTCTGGGGCTGGGCCAAGCGTAGCCGGTTCTAGTGTGAATATTTGGGAAAGTGCCAGTCTCCACCTGCTTCTCTCCTCTTCCTGGAGGCCTAGGCTCACGGGCAAGGCCCTGCACAGCCAGCTGTACCTCAGTATCCCCTGGTCACTGGGGATGTGGGGGTCGTACTTTAGCTCCCCACATTCACCCACATCCAGGCCCTCCCAGGGCACCTCCCCACCTGCCTGTTCCCCTAGTTTACTCCTGTCTCCTTTTGGGCTCTGCCTACCACCACCCACCCTCCCTACCCCTTCTACCCTCTTGATCCGAGGAGCTTATATGGCCTGGCCCCCCGGAGGGGCTTCCCCAGGTCCTGAACAGCCCTAGCCTTGCCTGCCTGTCCCTCAGCTGCCTCTGGAAGCAAAGTGCCTATCAGCAGCATTGCATCCTCTGGGGCCCCTGGAGGGGTTGTGGACTAACATTGGCCACCACCACTAAAGGAATGTGCCAGAATGCTGAACCTTCTTGTTATCAGCGCTGTGACTGTGCCTTGAATAAACAAGTCCTCCCAACCTCAGCCAGCCTGTGCCTCTGCATCTGAAGCCGCCAGGCTCGGGTGCACACTTCACTGTGTAACTTTTTTTTTGCTGGGGCCAGAGCTGCCCTTTCTGGGTTCCTCTCAACCCCAAGGCCTCCCCTGGCCCTGTCCAGATGGCAGAAGGCAAGCGTTGCCTGGCCTGCTGCAGAGGGGAGGTGCTGCTGTGCGGCAGGTGAGGACCTTCAGTGAGACCGCGAGTGACCTAGGCCAGGGCCTGGTGGAGGCCCAGAAATAGTAGCAGATGGGGCTTAGGGACAGGAAAGTCAAGGAGAGGGTGGGACGAGTCTCTGGGTTAGGAGCCCCATATTCCAGCTTTTACTCCAGCCAGCTGAGTGCTCCAGCACTGGTCAGCTCATCCAGAAAGTAGGGGTAATGAGGTAGAGCCGTAGCTCGGTGGTACAGCACTTTCCTGGCATGCACGAGAGCCTGGGTTCAATCCCCAGCAGCACAAAACAGAAAGAGGGTAGGGTGACATGAGGGTGATGCTCTGCCTTGTTACCAAATGGAACGGATTCCTCTGGGGTGGAGGACAGCTGTGTGTTAAGGAAGGAGAGGCCTCCTCCCCCACGGTCCCCCTGGAGGGACAGAGGATGAGCCAGGGCAGCTGCTTGGGGACCACTGGACACCGCTACCCTTGCTCGGCCTTCCCTTTAATCTTTCATCAAGTTCCATCAGTGGGGCATGAGGACAGGGCCCATCCTCCTGTGCCCTTGCCCCTCAGAACAATTATTTTCCGAGGCAAGCTGGATGAGACCCACCAGGGCTGCTCAGGGGAGAGAGAGGTTGTAAGGTCCCCTTGCCTGGGCAGGAGGGGCACAGCCTACAGCCTGAGCCGGGTGGGCTTCTGGCTGCTACAGGAAAGGGGCCTCTCCCACGGTCCACAACTCATCCCAATAGCTGTCTCCTGGGGTCTTCTCCCAAAGGCCTGTAGACCCCATCCGGGTCCCCCAGGTGGCAGGCGTTGGGCCAGTCCTTGGTTCAGCAGCAGGGACTTGGCTCAGGAAGAGACAGGCATGAGAAGACAGACTGACAACAAAGCTGAAGCACCCAGGGTGGGTGGGGCAGGCTGACCCTCCCTCCACCCAGAGGGAAGGAGGGGCTGGAGCCTGCAAGTGTGCTGCCCTGCCGGGTGGGACCTGGGCAGGGCAAGGGGAGCTTGTGGCTCTGCAGGGCCTGGATGCTGGCCACTCTCTGTGTCCATGAGGATCTTGGCATGTCTGACCCAAGACACACAGGTCCCACCAGGCCTAGGAGGAAGCAGGAGGGTTGCTCCCTTGAGGCAGTTCCCAGCCCCCTCCCAAGGCCATTGAGCTGGAGAGGCCTTCAGAAGCACCTCCTTGCTGTTCCAGCCTCAGGTTCCTAGGTCACTGTGTAGAAGGCCCAGGCTGGGCTGGGGTGTGGGAAGAAGCTCCTAGTTTGCCCAACTGAGCATCTGACCGTCTTGACCTTGACATCCTGCAGCCCAGCACCATGCAAGCCTCAGCTTCTGGCGGTCCATCCCAGCAGCAGAAGAGGCCCCCTGAGAAACCTCAACCCCTCTCATTCTCAGACCCTAGCCCTGAATAAGCTAAAGCTTCGGGATGGTGTCTGGTCACCTCTATTTACAGGTGACTGGTATTCAAGGAGGAAAACAATACCAGGCTCAGGTGTGACAGGGACTTCAAGGTGAGGCCTCAGCATCTCTCCCAGCTCGCGCTCCTGAGTGACAAGTACCCAGCTTGGGTGAAGCTTCAGGTGTCGTGGTCTGTCACTGCAAGATGTATGTTTGGGCCAGAGATCACACTCAGGCCCAGGGGCGCCTCTGCCTCCCTTGTCACCTTCGGCAACACTGTGAAGAATCTTCTCTTGCTCCCTTCCAAACACAGAGCCCAAGATAGCTTTCATGACAGCCCGGTCATTTCTGTGCCACTGAAGGCTCTGAGTGTGGTCAACATGAATCACATGATGAGATGAGTGCTTTGAAGAAAGAACAAAGCAGCATGAGGGCAGGGGAATGACAGGCGGGTGTGGATTCTCTGGAGGGTGCAGGATGAGCTCCATGGGGATGAGATACGGAGGAGTAGAGGGAGTGTGGGGATAAACGTGAGACCCAAAGAACAGCCAGGCAAGCAGTGTGTAGAGCATGGTGAGCAAGAGAAGGGACAAGGCAGGACTGAGGGCACCAGGACTTGTTAGGGTCCTTCAGGATTCGGTCTTATCCTTATGAAAAGCTATCGGAGGATTCTGAGTACTAGGGTTACACCATCCTCGTGTCGTTTTCAAATTTTTAAGTTGTAAAATACGTGTTATGGTTTAGATCTAAAACAGCCCCCAGTGGCTCATGAGTTTGGAAGGTGACTGGATTCTTGAGCATTATATCTGACTTCTTATTAGGAGTCAGGGTTTGGTCAGAAGAAGCAGACCACTGGGGTGTGACCTGGAAGGTATAACTCCCTCCCGGATCCTCCCTTCACATTCTGCTTTCTGGCTGCCATGATGAGAGCAGTTTCTACTCCGCCAGGCCCCTCTGCCATGCTCTCCTGCCTTGGAACCAGCCAACGATGGACTAAAACCATAAGCCAAAATAAACTTGTCTTCCTTTAATTTATTGTTGTCAAGTATTGAGTCCCAGTGATAATCAAGTGACTAAGACAATGAGCAAAACGTAAAACCTACTATCTTAACCTTTTTTAAGTGTACAGTTGAGTGGTATTAAATACATTATAACATGCAGCCATTACTCATGGTCATCTCTACTTTTCACCTTGTAAATCTGAGGCTTTGTGCCCATTCATAATTTCCTACCCTACTGCCCCAAGCTCCAGGAATTGCCAGTCCCTTATACATGGAGAAATGGAAGCATCCCAAGGATGACAGGAGGTATCCAGGAGAGAAGCTACAGTAGCTTGAATCAGGACCGGGCAAAGAATGAGGAGAGAAGTTGTTGAATTTGTCAGGGGTCGAGGATGCATGGATGGATTAGATGTGGAGAAAACAAGAAAGGCAGAGGCTCCCAGTTCTTTGGCCTGAAGAACTCGGTCAACAGTGGGTTAGAGGTGAAGACAGCTGGGAGGGAGCAGGTCTGAGAAAATGTCAGGAACCTCGTGGGTCATGTTGCACAGGGATGGGAGCGGGTAGCTGGAGACCTAAGTCTCAGGGTCACCAGCATCTGGATTGTGTTCAGAGCAAGGCACCAAAGGGAAAAGGAGGAAGCTCGAGGGCTGAGCAGACATGGAGAGGGGAGGAGGATCTCCAGGGAGCTGCAGCAAGGACCTGGAGCATCAGGAGGGGCTGGAAGGGAAGGAGGGATCACCCCACACCCTGGGTCTACCCACCCTTTGCAGTAACTATAGGCGTACAGGAGTGAGCTTCAAGACCACAAAGCAGCAGCAGCCAAGAACACTGGACATGCCACAGACACATAACCCAGTGTCTCCTATGAACAGCAGATGGGAAAAAGGGAGAGGGGCTATTATAGGTTGAAAGATTTAAGAGACACAGTCAAACACAAAGTATAGGCCGTGTTTGGGTTCATATGTGAAATAAAGTGTCTAGAAATTCATAAGGAAGAGCTCAGAGGTGAAACAACACCTTCTCGCTTTAAAACTCCAGGAAAAATACAAGTGGGGGAAGGGAATCCTGTGTGGCTCTTTGTTGATGCTGGGTGGGGTACCTGGAAATTATCTCTAGATTGTTGTATATGTTAGCATTTTCCCATAATAAAACACTTAAAATAAAGGATCGATCCCCCTCTGTCAGGGTGAGCACTAAGATGTGGCCCCTGCCTTTGGCAAGCTGGAGGTCATTGCTGACTTTGACCACAGCAGACTGCGTGGGAACAAAGCTTGGTCGACACAGGTTCCTCCCAGGAAGTGAGGAGATAAGACTGTGACCCAGGGTAGCTGCAGAGGGAGGGGAGAGGCCATTCTGCGTGTGAGAGGGAGACCTGGGTCCGCGGAATGAAGTGGCGTGGTGGTTTTGGGGGAGTCGAAAGCACAGAATAGCATGCGATAGCTCAGGACATGGGTCAGAGTGGCCTTTACAGAGCCAGGTCCTCTGCCCACCCAGGCCTTGCTCTCTGGCCCACCAACATGTAGGCTCCCGAACCTCTGACCCATGGACCACTGCACACCATGGATTAGAACGGCTCTGTGTTGTAGCTGACCAACCCCCAAATGGAGAATAGCACAACTATGAAGGAAGTGTGTCTTGCTCTGGTGTCAGTCTCTGAAGGGTGATCCTGAGACATGGGTGGCCTGCTCCAAGCAACAGCTCAGGGTTTGGCTCCTTTAACCTTGTGACTCTGTCATATTCCACACATGGCCCTCCAGGTTATAGTGAAGTCTGCATCAATCTGGCAGTGGATGCCAGAGCATTCAGGAACAACAGGGAGTTTGTGGGAAAGCAGGCCTGGGAATGGCTCACACAGTCCCACATCCCCTGGCCAGAACGGTCCCCTGTTCCAACTAATTGCAAGGAAGGCTGGGCAGTGTTGTCCAACTGTGTGACAAGAAAGAAAGGAAATTGGGTTTGGTGGCCTTCAGTCCAGGTTTCAGCCCAGACTTAACTCCACCTCTACAACTGCCTTCCAGCCTCGCCTGGCTGTTCCCTTCTTTCCTAGCTACTCTGGCCTTGGCCCACTAATCCTGTCTTCCATCCTGCCCTGGGATGCACTGTCCTGCAGCTTCCTTTGGCACAGGCCAAGACCCAAGAAAAGACCAGTCCTGGACAGTCAGCGGCATACAGAATAGGTTTATTCCTTGTGAGTTTATGCAACCACAGCACAGAGCAAATGCAGTGCAGGGAGTGGGCAGAGGGCCTTTCCTGCCGCTTTCTCACCTGCCCATCTGCCCAAGGATGGGCATGCGTGGGCAACAGACAGAAGCTGTGGGCCCCAGCCCAAGCAGGAAGCAGAAGGGGGTGCAAAGGTAAGACTCAGCCCTGTGGAGTGGAGTGGTGAGGAAGAGCCTGGGACTCAGGTCTCTCTGGGGTGGGGTCACAACCTCCATCCTGACAGCTGGGGTCCTGCAGGGCAATATGGGGGAGCTCCCACTGGGAGCCCTGAATGAGGACTTCTCAATTCCTCAGCCTGTAGCCACCTTCCCTCACCTTGACCAGCTCACCCAAGAAAAGCCCTGTCTCTCAAAGCACCCCCTTCCCAGTTCTGTGCCACCTCTGCCACCAAAAGTGATATTCCTCATGGGTGACGGAGATGCCAGAGGTACACAGGCAGGCAGGAAAGAGGCTGTGGGGGTAAGGGGAACCCAGAAGTTCCTTCTGCAGTTCTGGGGTGGGGGGAGCTGAGACTCAGCCCTGCTCCATTGCCTCTCCAGAATGACTGGGGACAAGATGCAGGGAGGCTTAGGAGAACCTGGGCTACATCGGACACAGACAGACAGACAGACACAGACAGCTGGGGGCTGGCCGGCAGGGGTCGCCTCTTACTCGCCGTCCCAGCCTCGACTCATGGCCTGCACCACGGCCCCATACAGCTGGCTCCAGGCAGCCCGCGTGGCTGGTGTGAAGGCAGGGCCCAGGCACCTCTCCAGCATGTAGAGCAGGGACTCGCCCACTGTCTGCAGAGGCAAGAGGCACCCGATCATCCCTGAGGCAGGAAAACATCACTTTCCTCCACAGGGGAGAAAGCAGAGGCCTAGGCTCCTGGGACTGCCTTCTCTCGTGCACAGGGTGCATGCTTCCTGAGAAGCAATCTACCCTGAGCCTCGGGTACCACCTGTGACACTGTCTTCCCTGCCTGTGAGGCTCTACAGTGAACAAAGCATTGTACCCACACCTAGCTTTGCAACCACCCTTCAGAGCTCAGACCAAACCATGCCATTATCTCTGGGCCTCAGTTTTCTCACTGTTGAAGCAGCAATCATGGAGTTAAGAGTCAAGCTCTAGACCTGACTTCTGACTGTGACCGCTACTTTTGAACTCGGTGGCTTATTTAACCTCTCTGATCTTCATTAGAAAAAACAGGGTGAGTAAAAGTTTCAAATCTTGGGCTTGGGCTTGCTGGGAGATTCAATATTATAATTTAGAAAAAGGTCTCAGTATAGCCATCTACATACACCAGCCCTTCAGTGATAATAATGCTCTCATCTGTTATTAAGTAAATAAAATAAGATTTATGTATGTCATAAATGTTTACTTAATAGTCCCTAAAGACCAGGCTGGAAGAGACCAATACTAACCTTCCCTAGATGCTTTCTGTCTGACAAGGTGGTTAGGCTACTAGGCAGAAAGTCACATCTGCAGCCCCCAGTAAACCATGCCTCAAGGATTCATGAGTAGGACCTTCCCACCCCAACGCTGGACTCGTCCACATGACTGGCCCTGGCCAGTGAGACATCAACAGGAGTGATGCAAGCAGAGGCTCTCTGAGTACCTGCACACTGGGCTGTCCTCTCAGGACTCAGCTGCCCTGGAAGGATGCTTGATTGGGCTGCTGCATGGTAAGAAGTCATGGAGGTAGACATGCCAGCCCCACCTGAGCTCCTGGGCGGACACAACACATGGGTGACTCTCACCATGCCCCATGGAGCAGAAGAACTGTCCAGCTGAGCCCAGCCATGAGAAATCAGAAATGATCATCTTAAGCCAGTACATTTTGTGAGTGATATGACGCCAGGCTTAGAAAGCTAAGCAGACGAGTTAATCCCAAAGGCTCCTACACTTCTGTGATCTAAAAGACACCATACAGAGGAGAGAACTGTTACCCACCGAGAAGGAGCTGAGCTTCACACCCACGGCTTGATGCTTCTTGCCCAAGCCAGCGAGGTACTCCTCCAGCGAGGACAGGTCCTCCACATTGGTCACTGCAGCGTCGATCACAAGCATCACCTGCCAAGGCAGAGGCAGCAGTGACATGGAGAGGCTGAGGCCACCTCTGCTGCTCACAACCACAGCCCAGAACCTGAGGGTCCCAACCAGAGGGAAGAGAGCCTTGTAAGACTCTCAGTCTTCCAGGATCAGCGTGAAAAACAGCCTCTGGTTGCATACAGTAGGCATCCAGCTATTGTCTCTCTCCTCTGAGGGTCTCAAACCCCTCAACATACCTGCTGGATAGATTAGCAGACACTGAGGCTGTGAGAGTCACAAACCTCTAACAAAACCTCAGCCTGGTGTCATAGGCAGGTGCCCCAGGAGCCAGGACAATGCCAATACAAACCGTGGGGACCAGGGGACAAGACCAAGGGCAACAACACAGGCTGAGACCAGCACAGGGTTGGGGAGGAGGCTGGCTCTGGCATCCCAGAGGGAAATGGGGATAGGGCTGAAATCATTTTCCTTATCTCCAGCTCCTCCTCCTCTGCCGGGTCTCAGAGGCCATAGCGGCTCCCCTCACCTTTCTGATGTGGTCCAGAAACTCTGGGGAGGACAGGCAGTCTTCGGGGCTGGAGAACTGGCAGCCCTCGTACTTGAAGAGGGGCAGCAGGTCGGGTTCCAGGGCAAATAGCCTGCGAGACAGGGACAGAGGTCAGCCAGAGGTGAGGGGGGGTGCTGAGCATAGCAAGTCCCCAGGACCCTGGCTACAGCAGTAACCACAGCATACACTCATCCCGGCACCGCCAGCTTTGCCAGCGCCCTCCTCACCCCTTCCCAGGCTCTGAGAGAAACCTGTCTCCAGGCTTCTCGCAGCACCTGGTATACAGTAACCCTATATAAATACTTGAGGGTGTGGTTTGGGACCAACTGGAGTCCTCAAGTAGGAAACGAGGAGTTATACTGGGTGAGGGGAAAGCCCTGTCTCTTCTCCTTAGGCCAGAACTTGTCGGTCTCATCCCGTCAGAGGAGGCTCCACCCAGCGATGATAATACTATCAAGAACAAACCCTGCAGGTGTAGTGGTACAAGTCTGCAATCCTGGCACTTTGGGAGGCTGAGACAGGAGGATTGAAAAATTCAAGCATGAGCAAATTAGTGACTTAGTGAGATCCTGTCCCAAAAATGACTAACTAAATAAACAAAGGGCTGAGGATGTAGCTTGACGTAAAGCCCCTGGGTTCAATCACCAGTACTGAAAAAGACAAAACAAAACAAGGAACACCTCTTTACATTTACCGGTACTCCTCATGTGTTAACTTGTACTTGTATATCCTTACCAAGCAGCTGGTACAATAGTTATCACAATTTTACCAAAGAGGAAATGGAAATCCAGACAGGCTTGGCAACGGTCAGAGGTCACACAGAGTGAAAGCAGAGGAACCACAGCAGACAGATGCCCAGGGCAAAGGTGAGCTTAGGAAAAGCCAAGAGGCACAGCCAGAAGCTGTCAGGCCCAGTGGGGAGGGCTCAAGTTTTCGTGTGATTCTGACTGTTCTGTGTGATTCTGTCTTGGGGGAGATTTTCCAAAAGTCCAGTCAGAAGTTTGGGGCTCGTGTAGGGAGGACAGGGCATTGCCCCCATCTGCGGTGAAGACTGGGGTTAGCAGAGAGCGCAGAGGCAAGGCTGGAAACTGGCCTTTCTTACGGTGCTTCGGGGGAGACTTGGGCGACTGTCATCCCTTCCCCAGAGGTTATTTGGTCCTGGGGCACACTGCACGCCCCGACCCTCGGGGCCTTTCAGTCTCCCGGTGAGGGAAGCGCTGGGCAGCCCCGCGGTCTCCACAGAAGTACACGCAGGACCACGGGAGGGGGCACGGCGCGGGG